ATCAGAAATAGGGATCACCAAATCATTCTCAATTGCCCTGCCCAAGGGAGTAACCGACTCAAGCAGAGGCAAAAGAATACCAAGAAAGGCACTAATAGACGAATCATCTTCCTTCTCATTGTGCTCAACAACAACCCCATTTTCAACAATACCAGGACCATTATCTAAATTATCCACGGTTTCCAAACCACCAGCAATGTTCCCATCAGAGCTAACTTGATGAGGTTCAATAGATACGAGTTTTGACATCCCAACTTGATGATTGAAAATACGACATTCCTTTTTATCATGACCAAAAGCTTTACAATGATCACAGAAAAAAGACAAATCTTCCATAACGACAGATTGAATATACCCCAAGTTATTCAGACCGATCCAAACACAATCAGGATAGCATTTTGAGACATCTAGTTCAACTAAAACCCGTGCAACTGAGGGGTGAGAGCCCACAACAGTTGCATTGTCAATGCGCAAAGGTCAACCAAAAATCGAGCCCAGACCATTTAGAATCCAAGGGGAGAATAAGTGGTGTCGCAAATTAGAAAAGGAGACCCAAATAGGTATAATAGGAGATTCAACTGATAAATCCAAAGAGACCACTTAACCAACTTCATGAAGCAATTATAAACAAAATAAGACAATGCGTAAAAACTCTACAGTAATCTAAATTATTTGCAAGTTTTATCCACGCATGCTTTGCATCTAAAAGAGTCGCAGAAAATTCACCAGCAAGATTAAGATTAAAGAAGAACTTTCTGATTGAATCCAAAGGTCGCTTAACCGAAAATTTTTCAACCAATGAAAACTCAAAGGGAGCAGCGAGAGCTAAAATCTCCTTCGAAATCCACAATGATGGCATACCTCGATAGGTTGAAGTTTTAAGAGGCGGAAAAGACACCAGAGAGACACCGGCCAAAGCATCAATAAATGACTTAGAACCATTTTTACAACAAAGGAAGCCAGGATCGCTCAAACGAACCCGATTAGTTACCATCCAACAAAGTCGAAGGACAAAACTCACACCTCCAAGCGGCTAGGGCAATGCCCTAGCGGAGCGAGCAAGGATGAAGCTTTGTTGGGGGCTTACACGGGGACGGGACAATACTACGTTAGGGTTCGGCTAGGCATGCTGGAGAAACCATTTCTACTAGGTATCGACACCAGAAGGGAACTCACCGGTGGAGTGGTCGTGGAAAGCGCAGGCCGTCGGAGAATTATCATCGACGCGGTAACATGACCTCGTATCTCTGTTAAATCCTTCTGGTGAGAAGTTGAGTTCGGCAAAGCAAGGCAAGCAAACCAGACGTAGGCGGAGCTTGAGACCGGCGTCAGCTAGGGCAAACCGGCAGAGGACCTCCGACTGGAGTTTGCAAACAAGATGGGTGTCGGCTGGGCGTGTGAACAGGAAGCGACGGAGAGGGAGAGGGGTCGTATATTCGAATGGAAGGGTTTATGGGAGAGCTAATCTATCTCTCGAATAGTAGATCAATTATATCTTGCTTTATTATTGAAGGAGAAATAAGAAAATCAACCTTGGCCCTTATCTTTGAGTTCTTACATTGTTCTTATCTTTTATTTGCTATTTTTACTTCCTAAACGCATCAAATTGGTATCATAGCAGGATTTTTGGAGAGATGACAGTAAAGAGAGTGGATGTGTTGAAAAGACAAAATAGAGCAATTCAAATCTGGCATGGAGGAAAAGTTTTTTAGCTATGGAGAATCGGATGGAGACCCGATTTGGAGTTATATAAGAGATGTTAAGGAATCTCATGAAGATGCATTCCAAAATTTCACTGGTGGTTCCAATTGCCAACCATTACCCGGAATCGATCGAGATTCCCTTTGATGAATCTAAGAAAAAAGAAATCAGATAAGAAGAGTTCGATAAGGAGATTTTCTTTCATCAAGAACTATATACTAGGACTCTGATAAGAGGCAGATTAGGGGTTCCGGATGGGGGAACAACAATAAGAGAGTTTTATGGTGGACATGTTGATCACTAAGGGAGGTTTTTTGGGCAAGGAGAGTGGACGACCAGAGGAGGAGGAGGAGGGGGGGGGGGTCATGTGAGGCAAAAATGGTGGGATTCCCACCCTTGGATACATGGGGAAAATATAGAGGGGTCATGACAACCATTACACTGAAGGAGGGAGAAGCTATTGAGGCGGTGGCGAGGTCATTGTATCCAAGTGTTGATGTGAAACAAACTTAATATCTTGTAGCAAGAGTTGCACCTATTCATCCGGATTCTCAAGAATTTAGTTCATATGGTGGAAGAATAGATGTAGATCCACATGCTTTACCCATTCATGGCAATTCACATTATGGTACACCACATTCAGCTTCAATTTTAGTAGCTCCAAGGAGGAATTTTGATGATCTCATCTATACTCAAGGTTCAAATATTGCTTATGGCGTGACTTTACCCCCAGCGCGTGATTATATGTCAAGGAAAGGCCTTCATGGTTCTGCAGGAACTGACTACAAAGGGAGCATTTTTCCACATAACCATCTAAATCTTGGAGTCCCAACAATTGTTGAATGGAAGGATGATAAAGATGCTTTTTGTCAAGAACTTGATATACGCGAAGAGGAGTGCCATCGGGATATGTTGCAGGAGAGGAAACGAAAGAAGGAACGTGAAAGGGATTATCTATCCATAGATAAGAGATATCCTAGGTTATCACTATCTCCTAAATTTACAAAGAATGAATTGTTACGGACTCTGGACTTGAGACTCATTGCCTTGAAGGAAGTGCTAGTTGCTTCTTTCAATCGTGCTATTGGTGCTAATTGTTATACCAATCATATTTCTGATTTAGCATCTCCGGACTTTTGGAGCAGCGCTATTAAGCAACTTATTATTTGAGTTTTTGGAGTTGTGCCCAAATAACATACATTTCGACACTTCAAAGAAGCAGCAAACATCCTTAAACGATTCAAGAAATATTAACCAAGTAGCAAAAAGAAAGTTTTCCCTCCTTAGTCTTAGTGTAAAATATGATGTAGTTAATCCCGTAGCAGCCATCGTTTCTTCTGCTGAAGTAGCCCAAACTAGGAAGCATAACTCATCAGAGAGTGAGGATTCCTCAGATTCAAGTGATAGAGATAGCCCCAATGGTGTAAGAAGTCGGCAAGTTGTAAGATCTGCAATACCTAGAAGATATGTTTCACCAATGCGGCAGATCGAGGTAAGTAGATCTGGTTCTCGTAGGTCTGCTGCAATTACCATTAAGAGCCTCAATTACTTTCCAGAAAGAGAAAAAACTATAAGAAATAGAGATGTTGATCCAACCCATTGTGGGGATGATGAAATGGAACATCTACCAAAGAAGCCTGAAAATAATGTCACTAGGATGAGTGTTCAAGATGCTATCAGCCTTTCTGAACACAAAAAAAAAAAGAAAGATGAAAAATGCAGATATTCAAAATAGGAAAACTTCAGAGGTATCCATTAATGCCAACAAATTTCTCTTATGAAGATGGAGTGCAGTAATGGGTGGTTCCTTTAAGTATTCTAAATAGGAAAAAACATCATATTGCTTCTGGTAACTTGAACCATGAAGCAGAGAAGAAAAAAGAAGATGAGGTGAAGACCAAGCCTTCAAATCCAGAAAGTGTTCAAGTTGTTATATCTGAAGAGATCGTCACGGCAGAACCACTGCAAGGTGATGCTCCTACTGAACCTATTGTTGCTTCCATTGATATGGAAGGTAGAGATTGTACATCGACTGAATGGAATCAGCAGCAGGAGGCTGAGTTGAATGGTATGCTTATGAAAATGATGGAGAGCAGTAAGGCTAGTAAATACATTGATGCCAAAGTTGGTATTGATGGTTTGTGAGAAACATCTATAGATTTAGGTTTTCTTTAGTAGCATTTCAAGCCGCCGAAGACCCCAGCCATCAAACTCACCATGTCAGCCAAGACCAAAGTCTAAGAAGTCACTGAGGCGTGCGATTGTAGATCACACACGTCTTCACTACCCCCAACTTTGATAGAAGACATAGAGGTCATTTTGGAGCCCTTGAAAGTTGAAGGGGTGCGTCGAGGGGAAATAAGAGCACATAAGGTACTTATCAAGTGGAAGGATTTGTCAGAGTACATAGCCACATGGGAGACATATGAGATGATTTGAAGATAGTCTCATCATTCCTTCCACCTTGAGGACAAGGTACGTCTTTGGGGGAAAGTATTGATATGCCGCCGGGGGGGGGGCATAGCTAGGCCGAGTAAGCTATTATTTATTATGTAAGAAATTAAGGGGGAACTATTTAGGAAGGTTCATAATCAAGAGAAAGTTGTTTAGGAAGGTTTTTAATAAAGGCGGAATTGTTTAGGAAAGTTTCTAATCAAGATGGAGTTGTTTAGGAAAATTTCCTAATTTTGTTTATGTTATTTAGAAAGTGTTTAATCTAGAAATGTTTCCTGGATCATGTTTAATTGTTTAGGAAGATTTTATAAATCATATTTAATTGTTTATAAAGGTTTCCTAAATTATGTTTATGTTTATTAAGAAGGTTCTATTTATTTAGAAAGGTTTCTTAAATTATGTTTATGATGATTAAGAAGGTTCTAATTGTGTTATTGTATTCTAGGGCTATATAAGGGTGAGTTTGTCTATAGTTTAAGGTATGATACGGCTTAGTTTATTTTCCTATTATTTGATGTGAGTTCCTAGCGGCATCTAGGGTTTGTGGGAGGGCTGATCTACCTCTTGAATAGTAGATCAATTGTATATTACTTCATTATTGATAGAGAAATAAGAAAACTAGCTTTATCTTTGTGTTCCTACGTTATTTCTGTTTTATTTGATGTTTTTACTTTCAAAACACATCAAAATCTTAAACCCTAAAATGGCATGCATTAAATTTATGTGCACTTCGTGAAATTCATATAAAAATAACCTTTGCTCAACCGTAAGAAGTTGCTACCAATATATGTATACAAACACATTATTAATTGCTAATGTTGCATAAGCTATGCTGTGAATCTTACCACTAAATATGCGAGCCAAAACTTGTCGGATATAATGGATGTAAGCTGAACAAAGCTGGTTATGTAAATCACGTCATGCAAATAGCTGCAACAAGACATAACAAGAAGTATGCATCATCAGAAAATAAATATATTAGCAAACTGGGTAAGAAAAAAAAAAGAAAAGAAAGATCATTCTAGCACTTCGTAATATTTTGGATAGAAATTAACATGCAAATTATTACAAAATGAATTGAATTTAGTAACAATAAATAAAGGTTTCCCATGATTATAAGGGTTTTAGTAGCTAAACAATTAAGATATTATCTTGCTATTTGAATCTTCATCATCAGCCTAATTCTAATTATTTAGGGTCAACTTTTCCTTAATATTATATTGTATGAGGTGTTTAACTTATTCTTTATAGATCATTTTGAACAACTTCTAGAAATCATATTATCGTCTCTATTCTCATTATTTTGTATAATGCAAAACTTAAATCTACCACATTTAGGCATTACTTTATATTCCAATAATATAAATTGATAATTATTAAAATCACAACCAATAAATTTGCATATCATATACTTGATCTTTACCCTACTAATTCTAGGTCATTTAGCTTATAATTATTTTTTTTTTCTAATTTTCACTTATTTCAATGGATGTATCAAAAAATATATACCAAGTCATCTCACTTTGAATTTCCCTTATAAAGCATCTCCACGATTAGTATAAAAAACAATGTACTCAAAGTTTATCTGGATAAAATCCAACAACTTTTTCAAATTTATTAAGTGTTCCATCAAACATATATTTAATTACTTTAACATATCATAGAGGATGACAATAAAATCCCACAATAATCCCATGACATACATTTTGGTTCTTATCTTAGTTTTTCCTCATTTGGATCATAGAAATTTTCACCAATATTAACTTATTTTATGACATTGAATACCGAATTATTTTATTTTTTTAATTCAATGAAAACATTTTGTTTCTTACCCGTACTTTAATTTTACATATGTATTCTCGTGATACCTTAAATGGCATATATTGGTTATTTAAATGAATTAGACGAACAAGGAAATGATTTTAAGTTTTTTTATTCTTGATTTTTTTGTTCTTCTTTGTCAAAGTAGAGGTGTTTATGATTGGTAAGCTACTAATTTTTTATTCATAATAGAAACTATTTATGATTGGAGAACTAAAAAGTAAAGATTAACTTTGATTTTTATTCTTTTTATTGATCAATTATTAATCTTAACTTCTTTTTATTGTATAACTAGAGAATGATCTTTTAAAATACAAACTAATGCAGTTGATAATAATTTCATAGAAAATGATATTAAACCTTTGTGGAAGTACATTATCAAGTTTGACAAAGGAGCAAAGGGGAAAGAGAAAATATAGAATTTCAATGTTAGTTTAGCTAAGGAAGAATAAGGAAATATATTCTAGCATGAGAGCTCACTAAACCAACTTGAGGGTGGTATTCGATTATGCCAAAAAAAATCCATACAATTTTAGGAATTACAAAATTAGATGTAGATGTTGAGTAAAAGAAGGTTCCCCCTTCCTACTTCTAGCCAAAGTGGCTCTAATCTAGTGAATCAATATTTTAACTCGCAGTTAAGTGAAAATTTATTTAGGAACAGAGAGTTGTGATTCATAGAAGAAAAAGACATAGAGACCAAAGATACTTATTAAAATAGCATTAAATTTGTAAGTTAGATATCAATTGCATGATGAAATTGCTCATATGTTCTACTTGATTGTTCTTCCATTTAATTTAACAAGGAATTTATGTTATTTTACTATTTTTTTAATGCAACTAATGGCACTCTCACAAGATATATATTCAAGGTTATAATCTTTTGAGAATAAAATTACAGAAAAAGAAACAAGATAATGTTAAAATAATGCTCGAGTCAATTAAAGAAACTTGAACTAAAAAGGGAGCTGGACTGATGCCAAAAAAAAACTCTTATTAATTTTATGATACTTATATAATGTGGGCTTATGCTTAAATAAGTTATTAATTGAGAATGAGCATATAAAGATAAATTCAAATCATATCAAAGAAATGATTATGAGGGGTTAGATCAAATGAAATGGTTCAAATAATCACTGATAACGCATTGGTGTACAGAGAAGTATGAACACTAATTAAGATTCAATACTTCTGTTTTTTTGGACTTCTATGTTGTTCACGCATTGATTCTTGCATTAAAGAATATTTGTACTTAGAAGAATTTAAAATGTTAATTAGATAACCTATTAAGAATGTAATTGGATAGCAGACATTGCAGGATATGTGAAATTTTGACAACCAAAACAATACACAATAATGTAAAAAATAGCAAACTTATTCCAAATGAATCTAGAAATAACACCAAGGGGATTGTAATTACTAATCTTCAAGCAAAGAAAGACAATATACAAGTTGATTTACTATTCGAGAGGTGAATCATCTCTCCCACAATTCCTACCAGCCACTAGGAACCCAAAACCCCAATAAAAATTGCTTTCGAAACAAATTCAACATAACCCTAATAATTTTCCCCTCTTAAACAGCCTCAATCCCCTAATAAATTCAACGCCTCTTCTTCTATAAGTGATAAAGGAGGTCATGGGCCTCACAGGGGAGCTGAAAGGTTCCTGATCTGCTGTAAAGTTCTTGGGCCCTACATCAATACTCCCCTCCCAAAAAGTCATCTTGTCACAAGGTGGAAAAAGAGAAACTGCTTCTATATGGTACTGTAGGGCTCCCATGTCGCCTCATACTCTGATAAATCCTTCCACTTGATCAGCACCTCACTGATCCCATTGTCTCCTTGGCGCACCCCTTTCACCTCCAATTGTTCTAATATCACCTCCATATCTTCTGATAGTGTGGCCAATAGTACGGGCGAGGGTTGTGGGCTCCAATGGCTTGTCTCAATTGCAATACATGAAATAAATGATGGATGGATAAGGTCAGTGGCAACTGTAGACGATATGCTATTGCGTCAAGGCTCTCCACTACCTCGTAGGGCCCAAAGTAGTGGGGGGAGAGCTTCTCATTCCTTTGTTGAGCCAAAGTTCATTGTTTATAAGGTTGGATTTTCAAATAAACACTATCCCCAACTCAAATTGTATGTCTCCCCTATGTCAATCCACCCACTTCTTCATGATTTTGTGCTCTCCATAGATGTTCCTTCAATTTTGCCAAAATCCATCCTCTTTCTCCCAAGCACTGCTTCGTCAATGACTTTGGTGTGTTGAGATGCCCATAATTTATCAGATGAGATGAATCTCACCTATATAGGATGGTATATGGTGTTGTATGGGCTGTTGTATGATAGTAAGTGTTATACCAATATTCTACCCAAACTAATCACTTGGCTCACATCTTTAGTGTATCTGATACAAAGCAATGAAGATAAGTCTCCACACTGCGATCGACCACCTCCGTTTGACCATCCGTCTGGGGTGGTAAGCTGTACTTCGCTTTAAGATAGTCTCTTGCATCTTGAATAACTCCCTCCATAAGTGGTTCATAAAGACCTTGTCTCAGTCGGACACAATAGCCTCGAGTATGCCATGCAAACGGACTACCTCTTTAATGAATGCGACTACCACCCATACGACGGTGAATGAGTGGCGTAATGGAATGAAATGAGCATATTTGCTCAATCTGTCTACCACTAAAATCACAATGAACCCTTCTGATTAAGGTAGTCTCTCAATGAAGTTCATAATCACCTCTTCCCATACCTCAGGTATTTGTACAAGACCACCTGGAGCAATAGCCAGGTATTTATCTCTAGCACATATCACAACTGGCCATCAAATCCCCTACATCCTTTAGCATGCCCACCCAATATAGCTTCGTTGTCAGTCTATGATATTTCTTCTAAACTCTTGAATACCCCCCAATAGATGTGCAATGAAACTCCTGCAACAAGTGAAGGATGTGTGGTGATGTCCTCGACAGCACAAATCATCCACGATATAACAACTTCTGACCCATCAAAGAGTAATAAGGATGTTAATCCTTGTCCTGCAATAAGTCTCCTCTGATCTTACTAAACTCCTCATCATGCTCGATTTTATGCTTCGAGGCCTCCTAATCTAGCACCATGGGATCAAATAGAGCCATAACCTGAGAGCTTCACTACGCCTGGAGAGAGCATCTATAGCTTTATTTTTCATTCCAGGCTTGTACTGGATCTTGAAGTCATAACCCAACAACTTGGAAAGCCACTGTTGATGCTCCTATCACCACAGAAAAATGCCTTGTTACAAGCGGAAAATCCCTATTTCCGGTGAATTTCTGACAAAAATTCATCCGACGGTAATTAGTGCGTCGGAAAATGTAAACTGACAAAAATTTTCTGCAGGAAACTTTTCGGCGACGTTTTTTGGAGGAAAAAAATGATGACAAAACGTAGTCTTCCTTCAACGGATTTCGGCGGAAAAAAATGATGACAAAACATCGTCTTCCTTTAACGGATTCTGTTGTTTAATCCACTGATATTTCCGGCGAAGAATGTGCGCCGAAAATATCGGCGGATAATCTGTCGTCTTAGTCTGCCGCATTATTATCGACTGACAGTACCGTCGGAGTTTTCACCGGAAATTCCTGTGTAAACGTACGTCAGAAAGTCCACTTCATTTTCGTTGTATCGTGTTGCCGGCGGTGTTTCCGGGGGAAAATCTGCCAGAAACATATAGCATAAAAAAATAATCTTCTAACTTATGAAACTGATTTCTACAATATAACCCACATACAAAAAGATCCAATATTATATGCATTCAAATATTCACCTCTAATCAAGAACATCATCAAATATTAAACATAAACATATAAACAATAACAATAATAAGAAGAATATCATCAACAAATATTCAATAATAAACAAATGTAGATTTCCAAAAAATAAATAAGTTAATATGTCCAAAAACACATAATTATAGATGTCCAGAATAAAATAAACAACATCTACTTTGAATCAGTCTCCTCCTCTGCTGAAGTTGTACTCTTCCCACTGAACTACTACCTCATCTTTCGCATTTCCTCTAACAATTGAGTTTGTTGCAGCCGCATCTGCTGATGCATCTCCATTTGTTGTTGCAACTGCATCTGCCAGTCAACTTGTGCTTTCCTGACCTGCTCTAGCTCAGCTATAAGGGTAGTTATCTGTTGGCTATATATAAAGACTCATGGGTGTTTGCTGAGAAGCTGGAGCCACCAGATGTCTGCCCCTCGTATGCATAAGCTTGCGAGCCTAAACTGTATACTCTGTCGTGTTGCATTCCTACCGCTTGCTACCAAGTGCGGTAGTCAGAATATTCTGTTGATCCACCAGAAGAACTTTCACCTGCTGCAGTCTGGATCTCTCGAAGTTGTGTATACTCCTCCTTTGAAAATAAATAAAAAATTAAGCAATTTAGACATGAAATCAAAAATATTAAACTTATATACTTACATAAACTCTCCTCAATCGCTCATCAACCTATTGCTGGTCCTACCGCTTGTGGGTATGACAATGCAATTCAACATGGGTCGATTCTCTACCCAGCACCTCTTTCTGTAACAGACATAGATTAGTATTCATAATAAAATAAATTATTAAAATCTTTTAAAATTTCTTACAAAACGTCGTCTGTGTTCAGTATGTGGAACAGAAGTACAGAACCCCCAGTATGAAGAGAATCAGCCATGCCCCAAACATCATAAACTTTGTTCTGTCTATTTTGGTCCCTCCTGCTATACTCTGGGCTAACCCAAGCACGGCACAACTCAGCCCATACACTCTCACCAATCCAGAGTGGTCGCTCGCCTGACTTTCTAATGTCTGTAAATATGTTTTGCATGCAGGTCGACCCACGCTTCTCAAAATTCTTTCTGATTTTATCATTATTTTGTGGCAGCCAATAAAAATCTTTCTGCATTTAAAAACATACAATATGTAATATATATTTTATTAAATTATGTAAAAAAGATATAATACAAAACATATTTATATAAAAACTAACCTCAAACTCTCTAAACCGCATACCCCACACTTTTTTCGAGACTTTCTTCCAAGAAACATAAGGTGCATCATACATGTAATGTATTACGCCCCGTATTTTATATGTAGGTTGTTTTGACGGCAAAAACTTGCAATAAATATGTTGTGTGTCAAAAAAATATTCAATTTTATTTGCATGTTTAAAATATAATAAATCATATGTGTCATCGCAGATTCAATCAACATGGGACCCCATGTCGTCTACTTTGCTGTAGCAGAGGTCGAAGGTCCACATGTAGCAAGCTGAGGGGGTGGTGGGGGATAGTATGGCGGGGCATATGATGGATATGAATAAGTAGGAGGGTCACCATGAGAAGGTGGGGGTGGGTAGTAAGGGTAGGAGGACTTTTCTATCACACCATAACGCCCAATGCATTCCTCTACTTCCACCATCCAACTTAAATTCTATTGATAATATCCCCATCTATTAAAACATGTACTTTTATTAATGACTTCATAGCCCAAAGTCACAATCCCTCAACTAGGTCTATTACTATTAAAATTACACTCCATATATTAAGTTTTAAATCTACTTTATATGAAAACCTTTAGACTTTAAGATTGACCTACATAATTCAAGTTTACCTTCAACTCCCTCTCTACTATTATCAACAAGAAGAATATCATCAGCAAAAAGCATACACCAAGGTAGATTCTCTTGCAAATGTCTAGTGAGAATCTTCATAACTAAAGCAAAAAGCATAAATTAAGATATATTCTCTTTCAAATGTCTAGTGAGAACATCCATAACTAAAACAAAAAGCATACATTAAGATACATTCTCTTACAAATATCTAGTGAGAACATCCATAAAAAAAAAAAAAGCAAAAAGCATACACCATGCAAGGTACATCTCTTGCAAATATCTAGTGAGAATATTCATAACTAAAACAAAAAACATACACCAAGATACATTCTCTTGCAGATGTCTAGTGAGAACATCCATAACAAAAGCAAAAAAACATACAACAAGGTACATTCTCTTGCAGATGTCTAGTGCGAACATCCATAACCGAAACGAAGAGGGAAAGAAATGAGAAGAAAGACTGCGAAACGATCAAAATAGGGCCCTTTTCGTCGAACTTTCCGGCAGATTATCCGTCGGTAATATTACCGGCGGATAATACGTCGATAACTATTAGGCGAGTTTAAGTAAGCCAGCGCAATTTACGCTGGTAATTCTGCCAGTAATAACAAGCGAAAATTGCGCCGAAATATTTTAAATGCCAACGAAAAAATCGACAGAATATGCGCTGATACGCTAACGGAGAAAATTTTGCCGGAAATACCGTCGTTAAGTTATCGATGCATATTTTGCCGGTTAGGCCATTGCTTTTTCCGGCGTATGTTTCTTCGCCGGTAAGGACAGATTTTCCTGTAGTGTATGTCGTCATCCGGTAAGGACAGAAACTTCAAACTTCTCTAATCGATACTGACTATGAAGTGTCACCCCAATATGTAAGATCTCCACTTATGCATTGTCAATACTATCACCATCAACTCCCTTTCATACACTGATTTCAGTCTGGCCCTAGCGGTCAAAATCTGACTGGAATAAGTTATAGGCCTTTAATCCTGCATGAGAACTGCTCCTAACCCATAGCCTGATGCATTAGTCTCCATTAAAAGCAGCTGGTATAAATCTGGTAGTGCTAACAAAGGCACACTAGTCATGTCTTTCTTCAGCTGCTCAAATGTCTGGGTGGCTATCTCCCCCCATTTGAAACAATTCTTCTTCAGTTGCTCTATCAACAACCATGCTATAGAGTTGTATCCCCTCATAAACTTTCTGTTATACCTTGTGAGTCCTAAGAACACCCTCAAATCCTTTAAGTTTTTGGGTAAGGGCCACTCCAACATAGCCACTATCTTGGAAAGATCTGCAACTACTCCTGATTTCGATACAGCATGTCTCAAATACTCTGTCCTTTGTTGTGCAAAGGAACACTTATTCAAATTGGAATACAACTGATACTCCTTTAATGTTACTAACAAGAACCTTAAGTGCTCCACATACTCTACCTTAAGACCGACTATACACCAAAATTTCATCGAAGAAAATCAATACAGACTTGGGAAGATATAGCTGAAAAACCTTGTTCATAAGTGACTGAAATGTAATTGGTGTATTGATAAGCCCAAAAGGCATCAGCAAAAACTCGTAGTGGCCTTCATGACTCCTAAAAGCAATCTTGTGGATGTCAACATGCCGCATTCTAATCTGATGGTATCCTGATTTCAAATCAATCTTAGAGAACATCATCACTCTATATAACTCATCCAATAGCTCATCAATAACTGGTATAGGAAACTCATCCAACACTGTTTCCTTATTCAAAGACTGATAATCTACACAAAATCTCTAACTACCATCTTTATTTTTCACCAGCAATACAAAACTAGAGAAGGGACTAACACTGGGATGAATGATCTGGGCCTCCAACATCTCCTTGATCAGACTCTGAATTTCATCCTTCTAAACCTGTGGGTATCGGTAGGGTCGAACACTGATAAAAAATACCCCCTCTCAAGATGATGGCATGCTCATGCTCCCATGGGGGACGTAGGAGCTAAGGCAGATGGAACATCTCATTGAATTGTTGCATGAGTGGATGGAATATCTAGAACTTCCCCTCTCTCCATGCTTCTTCCCTCCCATGAGGCTCTAGAGCTCCATCAAGAATCTCATCCCTACCCTAGCCATGGTCTTAAGAGAAACCCTGATTTTTTATAGACTAGGATCCCCCCTGATCCTCGCCTTCCTCCTCCACCATGAATTCCATAGTCGATGCATTCCAGTCCACCTTGCTTTCCCTCCATGTATACAACCATTTCATGCCCAAAAGTATATAAGTGTTCCTTAACTTCAAGGGAAGAAAATCCTCCTTCATCTGGATCTCTTGCGATGTCACCATCAATCTTGGGCAAATGCCTCTACTCTTCTCCATCTTCCTAGTTCCCATCATCACCCTAAAACATCCTATGTCGACTAGCATCAGCCCCAACTGGTCCATCACCGGGTTGGAGATGAAGTTGTGAGTCGCTCTACTGTCTGTCAGAACTACCACTAATTCTCCTCCTATATGTCCCCTCACTTCATCGTATGATTTGACGTAAATCCCACCACAGAATTTAAGGAGACCACCACATCTACATGTAAATGCTCCTCCATCTCAACCACCTCCTCCTCTAGAATATCCTCATCACAGACTGTAAGTACCTGCAGCGACCTGTCCTTACAACGGTGGCCCACCCAATGCAAACTTCTCATTACAACGGAAACAAAATACCCTAGCTACTTCTCCTGAACCTCTACCTCAATCAGCTGCTTGAAATTTTTCCATGGTCGTGCTCCTAATCCCATATCATTGGGTACTTCTCTCTAAGTGGGCACAGGTTGTACCTCTAATGCCAAAAAAGTAGTCATCGTTCAGTATAAAGCTCCCAAACTGCTACCTTTGCTGCTTCGTTCAAGTGAGCTTTTGTCCTGCACCAACTGGGCAAGCTCCATAACCTCCCCAACCCTCGTGGCCTTAATAATCGGACAGCAGCCTGCAGCCCTAATCTCTAGCTTGAGTCACGTCATGAAATTCCCCTCCAACACAATCTCGGATAGCATCCCCAATCAGCTAGAAAGGTACTCAAACCTCTCCTGATAATACATCACTATCCCTTCATGACCAGAGCAAAGAACTGCTCATAGAAGTCCATTTCCCAACTAGTTTGAAAACATTCTAATAAACTATCTTTAAGCTCCCTCGACGATCGGACAGGATCTCTAATGTCTCTCCACTGATACCAAGCCTTCCCATCCAAACATAAAGTCGTCGTGAGTCTCTCCTCTTCCATTAGCACATTCACAGCAAAGTCTCTCTACCCTATAGATCTACTCATGAGCATCTTCCACCCTCAAAAATAGGCATCTTCAGCTTTTGTAGTCTCGAATTCCCTCCGCCCCAAATTTCTTTTCCACCTCCGGCTCCTCCCATATAGCGATTATTGTGATCTCTCCATTGTTCTCTCCCACCCCTCCTTTATAGATATCCTCTTCCTCAAAATCAGCCCTCCTTGTTTCTTCCTCCCAATTTCTCCTCAAGCTATATCCTTTGTCCATTTCCCTCCTAAATATCAGTTTAAGAGGTGGCATATTTTCCTTGTCGCCCAAGATTTCTACCTCTCGGTCATCCCTCATTGTTTTGATATTGAGGTTTCCTCCACTTCTTGGCCACTCGCCAATGCTCTTGCCTCCGACATTGTCATTTGGGTATGAAGCTCCAATATTTTCTTCATCATACCCTCTAGGTCATAAAACATTCATTCCATGGATGAAAGATGTTCCTCAACTTCAGATTTAAACTAGCAACTTCTCTTGCTAGTTTCTCTTCCAAAGCATTCACTTTTTACAGCGCCATAGGTCCCGAATTGTGCTATGATACCAATTTGATAGGATATGACGACCAAAATAGCACACAACTATGTAAAAAGTAAAAATAACAAACTTATTCCAAATGGATCCAGAAATAACACCAAGGGGGTTGAAATAACTAATCTCCAATCAAAGAAAGACAATATATATGTTGATTCACTATTCGAAAGGTGAGTCGTCTTTACCACAATTCCTACTGATCACTAGGAATCCAAAACCCCAACAAAAAATATTGTATGAACAAATTAAACATAACCCTAACTCTCCACAATTTTTCCCCCTTAAACAACTCCAATCCCCTAATAAATGTCCCTTAAATCTTTCCCAAAGAGCTCCCCCCCAAGGCCTCTTCTCTCCTATATGTGATAAAGAAGGTCATAGGCCTCACAGTGGAGCTGAAAAGTTCCTGATTTGCTGTAAAGTTCTTGGGCCCTACATCAACTTC